AGATCTCGCAAAAGTCCGTCTTAATTTTTTTTTCCCTCCCATGTCCCCTGCAGGGCTCCGTAGTTATCACAATATTTCCAAAATTGCCAGTGTGTGAATCCATGATTTGTTTCATTGAGAGAGAATTATTTCTAATGATTTCACAAACAAGGCTATTTCTATGAAAATTGAAACAAATGACAGAGGCATTTATTAAAAACTCGTTATAAAAACAAAAGGTAGAAACAAAGACAAGTTTCAGTCCTTCTGGCAGTTTTAAAGTTTAAATAAAGACACAAACAGTCAGACATGGCCTCCATCTTGACAACAAAAGGCCATTCTGCATCTGCGGCACTGTTATATAAGACTTTTTGAAGGATGTTACCTCTGTCTGTTGATTTGTTGTTATAACTAGCTGCATGTACAGTATTTTATAAGAGATTGTTCTAGGAAATGCTAAAAAAAAACATTTAGTCATTGAAATAAATATCTGTGAAAAAGAAAATGTCATTAAATAGAATATACCTTCTGTATTTCACATTCTGGTGGGTTTTATTTTCTTCACAGCTGTAAAGAAATTCGTCAGCCTGCTGCAGACTTCACCACAGACACTCACTTCCTATCTCTGATGACTCCACACAAAGGAGAGCTGAACTTTTCTCTTTCAGAAAACCACAGCCTTCACCTTCATCTCATTTTTGTTTGGCTTTGCTGCAGTTCTGCTGAAATGCTGCAGCAAAGCCTGCACTCATTTATCCTGGTCGTGCCTTCAACAGTTTGACTCTTTAGCACTTCCTTTTATTCTCGTTCCAGGCTTTTAAAGACAGTTTCTCCTTTTGCTGTGTAGGCTTGAAAAAGAAAGGAACTCCTCTCTCCACTGATGATTACTGCCCATTGCTTTATTGTCTGTATTTTCTCCTGACCTCAGTGGTTGAAAAATGAAACCAGTGTGGATGTGCTAAAACCTCCAGTTCCTCTAATGGCCACTTGAGGCTGGGTGCAAAAAAGAGGGTCAAATCCCATAGATTCCCATGTTAAACACACAGTAATGCATCATGTTCTGTAAAATCCTGGTTGTAGTGTGTCTGTCCTGATGACTATGTATTTCCAAAAGAAATATTTAAAAAATATAACTAAAAACTAAAAATATTTTTAATGAAAAATATCTAAACATCAAAGAATGTTTAATAATGTAGCTGTGTTTTAGCAATAATGCAGGTGACCTCTTAAATCTTCCGCATCACTCATGATGGCCAAGATGGTCAGTCAAAGAAAAATTATTGGTTAACAGAATATATCAGAGAAACAGATTTACTTGCTAATGCTACGCATAGAATTTGGACACATAAGGCTTCAGGAAGGGGTGATTTAGTTTGACTGAGAAGTCAAACTAAAGTCAAACTAAACACATTCCTATTCCTAAACACATTCCTATCAGACAGGACCTTTTCTGTTAGGACTGATAGGTTCTCCTCTAACACTGCTGCCCTAACCTGCGGGGTTCCACAGGGTTCAGTTTTGGGCCCATTATTAATTTCCTTTTATATGCTTCCTTTAGCTGGCATTATTCAGTCTTTTAGTGGCCTGTCTTATCATTTCTATGCCGATGACATTCAGCTGTATGTGTCCTTTAAGCCTCATCAGCTGGATAGGCTGTCCACCCTAGTCCAGGCTTTAACTCAAATCTCTGATTGGCTTTCTAACAATTACCTTGTTTTAAACATGAACAAGACAGAGACCATGATCATAGCTCCTCCTGATCTACATCCTAACCAGTCAGGTTCTTGCCCCTTTCTGTTCTTCTGCTAAGCCAAATATTCGAAATCTTGGAGTAATATTTGACTCTTCTTTGGGCCTTGACTCACACGTAAAATCTCTGTCTCGTTCCTGTTTCTTTCATTTAAGGAATATTTCTAAACTGCGACATATGGTCTCCTTAGCTGAACTGGAAAAAATTGTCCATGCATTTGTGTCATCGCATTTAGATTATTGTAATCTAAATGTAAAAAGAAAAAGAAAAAATAGACTTTATTCATATGGTTCTATGGTTACAATGTACATATTTACAGTGGCTTGCAAAAGTATTCGGCCCCCTTGAACTTTTCCACATTTTGTCACATTACAGCCACAAACATGAATCAATTTTATTGGAATTCCACGTGAAAGACCAACACAAAGCGGTGTACACGTGAGAAGTGGAACGAAAATCATACGTGATTCCAAACATTTTTTACAAATAAATAACTGAAAAGTGGGGTGTTTGTGGCTGTATTGTGACAAAATGTGGAAAAGTTCAAGGGGGCCGAATACTTTTGCAAGCCACTGTAAATATGTACATTGTAACCATAGAACCATATGAATAAAGTCTATTTTTTCTTTGACATTTGATAAAATGTTGCTTTAAAAAATCAAAAAAATGCCAAACAATTTTATTTATGTAGCACTAAATGAAAACAACAGTTGCATCAAGGTGCTTTATGTTGTAAGGTAAATGTCCTACAATAAGAAAACCAGAGAACACCCCAACGATCAGACACCCCCTTGGCAACAGTGGAAAGGAAAAATTCCCTTTCAACAGGAAGCTCCCAGCAGACTAGGCCAATTGTGGCGTAACATTCTACTTTAAAATACCAGAGGAACCAAAATTACAGATTCCTCCCAGCGTTACTCGAATCCAGAGTAATGCCATTCAGAGTAAGCATCTAGCTAGATACCACATTTCTAAGATTTTTAGGGCCAAGTTCAATAACTTTAGTTTAATCTTAATTTAAAAGCAGGAAATTAAAGGTCACCTGAGTTCTTTATGTCTTTAAGGCTTCCTGCATGAAGGCAAGCAAAATCTGTAGTTAAAAAGCAGTGTGTGACATCATGTTGGTGACGTACGGGATATCAAATAATGGTTACGACTGAACTTAAAAACTAAGTGCAGTCAGAAACTCATATGCAGCAAGATATGTAACTCTGGAGAAGAGGCCAATATGAGAACTATATGAAGATGAAAATAAAAACAAGCCAAAAAGGTCATAGTTTATGTTCAGTCAAACAACTTGTTTCTTTAAAAACAACAGGGAAAATGGAGAAGACAGAAATGCTGCAGAGAGAACAATAGCAGAGCTGTCAGAACAGGACTGCAGGATCACTGTCCTCTGTCAGAGTCCTCGGGCGCTAAATAACGAAAAAGCAAAGACGCCCGCCTGCTCAGTGCCTCTGAAACACAGCGACCGAGAGGGGAGACGGAGGGGAAGATGGAGTGATTGCAGATGGGAAAACTGTGAAGCAAACAAAGAACTGCAGAAGAAACTGTCAGATTCTCTCTCTGAGTGTCAGCTCCTCCCTGACCAGTGAAGCTGAATGATCCAGTAACAACAGTTTACTGAAGACAAAATCCAAAAGAAGAAAACTCCAGTAGCATTTATACCGCTAAAGCCTTACCTTCACACAATTTATGGAAGACTGTAGTCACACATTAAAATATGACCAGGTGAGAGGCACAAGTAGGAATTTATGTGTGAAAGGTAATGCTCAGGTGCCTCAAACCATCATTTTTGTAAAGTTCAGGCTGAACTTTGGTTGAAATTTTTATAGATGTTTAACAGAATATTTATCTACTTCCTAAGCACACATCTACCTGATGGGTTTAAATGCTGGTTGAGCAGCTGAGCTATCAACTAGATCCCCTGTAAACAAGCATTTAGTTAGAGTGTGCTGGGAACTTCTGTCAGACACTCCAGTCCACAAGATGTCCAATTGCTTCCTCCAGCACAGCTTCAGTTGTATTCATCAGGGACTTTGAGTTGAATAATGAGTCATATAAAGGGTTGGTTAGCCTGTGAGACACCAGAGGCTCCGGAGGCAGAGTGTTTTAGGCATGTCCTAGTACAACGTGGCCCTAGAGCAGACCCAGGACTTGCTGGAGAGATTGTGTCTCTCAGTTGGTTTGGGAAAGCCCCGGTTAATTTGGAAGAGATGGCTGAAACTCGAACCTGGATAAGCAGCAGGTTGGATGTTTACATGTACAGAAACCTCTTAGTAGCAGCAAAACACCTTTCAGACCTCCTAGTTTCTCTGTTTTAAAAAGTTCTCGACCAGAATGCAATTTCAATGTATTTTTTTTTATAGATGGGGCTTTCGAATTCCCTGAGATCCCTGATCTCATCAGCGATCACTGCAGCAATTTTTAAGCAATATCAATGAGAGCAAACATTGTTAGTTTGCAATCAGTCATCAAGGATATCATCGCAGTCTGTTCACTGTGTATCTACAGTATAGTATTTGTCCAGTGTTATAAGATACATACTTCACTCGGTCCAGTCTGCGGTTTTCATCAGCTGATCCTCCGACCCCTCCTGCTGATCAATACTGCCCCATCTGACCACTTCTATTCCTGGCCACATCCCTGCAGAGTCAGCCCCCTTCCCCCCCCTGGCCCTTTTCCGCTTGCCTCGCTGGGACCAGGCTGGCACAGCGGTGCAGGTTGCCAAGTCCAACTCATTTAAAGAGAGACACTCAGCGACAACACGTACAGGATATGGCCAAAGTGATGTTTGTGTGCGGTTACCACATGCAGCCGTTGTAGCTCACAACATAATTCAACATGAATATTAGACACATATTAACAGCTGACAAGCACTCTGCGGCAGATCAAGGACATTTATGATTTATTTACAAGGTTCCCAGAGTAAAAAACTGAGTGACCCAAAAATATAATGAGAACAGTGCATAAAAAGAGCCACGCTGACCCATATTCAATTTAAATATGGGGCAAGTACATAAAAAGATACAGTTAATCTGACAGTTTCTTTTTGGCAGAGAGTAAAACAGCTTTGCTTTTAAAAATGACTACACACACACACACACACACACACACACTGATGGACTTCTAAGGTGTCTTCTGTACTTGCTGGCTTTTATCTCTGACATCCTTCTCTGCATCATTTGCAACCTGGCACAAGAGAAAGAAAAACAAAGAGCAAACAATTTAACCAATGACACGTAATACAAACTATTTCACTGAGTCAACAGTATTAAAGACCAAAAAAGAACAATCTTAAAAACCGTTTAAGTCAGCGTAACTGATGGTCACATTAAAATGAAAGTCATTTAGTATTCAGTGTCACCTCAGACTGCTAAAAAAAAAACCACTTGAGCTTTTGTCTATTAAGCATTTCAGAATTACTCCTAGAAGTTTAACTGAAAATTAACCTCAAACTGAAACGCACTCATACTAAGTGGGATGTGAGAGGTATTCATTATGCTGGAAGACTGCATAACATTGCTCTTTTGCGCTGCAGAGGAGTAGAGATTTTAGTCACATGTTGGTTTCTCCTACAGCTCCGGCTTTATAAATATTAGTAGTAAAATGTGACATGCAGAAAATATTAGCACTTTATTATGTGTCGATTTTATATATATATATCGGCATTAATCGATTTATTAACCTAACATTGACGGTTGAGATTCATCGTTTTGAACATATTACTGTCAGGGCTCTGTGTGCAGGCGGATGGAGAAGAGGATCCAAATGCGAGACTCTGAGACTGAATTGAAACTGAGAACCTTAGATTTATTGCTGGTGACAAACGAAAACATGAACTGAACAATGACACTGAGAAC